TGTAAGGACACCAAAAAATAATTTTAAAGAATCCACGCCAATGTGTAAAGGCTTTAAAAAAATTCGATACCCTACACAACTACCACGTAACTCTAACTTTCGTGATATTTGCACCCGCATGCCCGATTAGAGTTCAAAAGCACCTCTTCCTTACACTGACATATATTCCGAATATTACTAATATTCAGTACGGTCCTCCTAATTACTTGTCCAGATTCTCTTCACCGTGAGTTGTGTTGTGATGTTCAGCTTATAATTGTGGCCTACAGATCGACCTGAAAAAAATTATGTTTTCGGTCCACTTCATCCCAAAATTATTATCTGATCATCACCGAAAATTATAGGCGTTGACCTTGACTACAACTGGAATCTCATGGAAATTTTCAAAGCGGTCAGCGCTATATTTCCGCCCTCCAGTGAGGTCTTGGGTTACTAAATAATATCTTAGTACGAAAGCACCTGTAAATATGTAAGTGTAACTCCCACATCCGAGTACAAACGACAATATAATTGATATCAATTTGAAGGTCAATCACTCTTCTTAAGTATACTACCAACTTATCGGGTCTATGACCACCAGGAGTAAATATATACGTTATGGAGTATAAATTTTGTAATTTTTCACACAAAAGTCATAGTCCAATTGACCAGCTAAATATGGGCCGATCTATATTAAAACAGGCATGCCTTTTCTTTGACCCGATCCCCTCTCTCCTCTGGTGCGAACAGAAAACCCGACAAAAATTAAGTATTTGGTCCATTTCATTCCCTAAATATTAACAGATCTATACCAAAAACAATAGGGATCTTCATTGGCCAGAACCCATCCTACATGCAAAATTTCGTGAAGATCGGTCCATAACTGTAACTGTATCGTGTTTATAAATTATAATTATAAATTAGTTCGACTCCGCTAGTAGAGATATGACGGTCGGTATACTTAAAGGTGGGTCTAGGTGAGTCGCGGCTTTTCAAACTCTTGGGGCTGCACAAAGCTGTAATACCCTGAGAACATAATTGTGTAGGGTATAAAAATCCACTCCTATGTCTATACCCCGAAAAAATCATTTAAAAAAATACATGAACCATCCTCTTCTCCTCTTCGAAATCCCCTCAGGTATTTTTACTTCTGTTTATTTTCGAAAAATGTCCAAAATGACATACCGAAATCTGCTTTGCTATTAGAAAATTTAGATAAACATTGCCAAAAGCAATATGAAAATAATGAATTTTACTGTTAGTCTCCTACCAACAGCTTCCTGATGCTGAACAAGGCAAAATAACACTACAGCACACACACACAAACAAACACATCCAAATGGTAGATGCTAGTCAGCAGAATTCAAAGGACATCCTTTTGAAATATCCGTTTTAGCACAAATGCTGCAGCCAAAAACAACGTTGTTGAAAATTCCAACAACAACAACGATGACGATGACAAACGTGAGCGCAATACCAGTTTTGCTAATTGGAATTTAGTGATGCGTAATTCCATCTCTGCCATTAATTTACAAAAAATAGTAGAAAATTAAAAAAAATGGTTAATGGAAAAAACAATTCTGCTGGTAAAAAAATTATATCGTTTGTTAAGTGGTTGGATGATTTGTAGAGAATATCTATGTTCGTTGTTGTTGTTTCTACTCTTTTAGATGTCAATGTTAATTATCTAGGATTAAAGGATACTGGTGTGTGTGTGTTTGAATGATTTTTTTGCTCTAATCACTTTGAATGGCAGTGATGAAATGTGATGATATCACTTGTTTAAGTGGCTTTCAGCGTAATTTGTATTTTTTATATTATTTTTACATTTATTAATTAGTAATGAGTGTGTCATTTAGTCACTCTAAGGGCAGGTGATTTATTAAGGGTCGGGTTCTATACATAGGCGCGGAATTTTTATACCCTTCACAACACTGTGGTACAGGGTATTATGTCTCGAAATAGACCCATAGTTAATTTTGAGAATATGCATAGACTCACTTTCTGAGTCGATTTATGCATGTCCGTCCGTCTGTATGTCTGTCCATGTTAAATTGTAAACCAATTGCAGGTCACATTTATGATCTGCTTTGGATGGAATTTGGCACAGCTCCTTTATTTGGCCCAAGGACGAACCCTATTGAAATTTGGAAAAATCGGTTCAGATTTAGATATAGCCCCCATATATATTTTCGTCCGATTTTAGGTAAATAGTGCACCAAAGTCCCGATTAATGTAGCCCGATTTAATGTAAATAGTGCACCAAAGTCTCTATGTATCATTCGATTTACACGAAATTTGGCATAGTGTTTTGAATAAAGTCTAGAACGATGTGTGTTAAATTTCGAGAAAATCGGTTCAGATTTAGATATAGCTCCCATATATATTTTCGTTCAATTTTAGGTAAATATTGCATCAAATTCCGTTTATATCCTTCGATTTACGAGAAATTGGGCATAGCGCACTGAATTAAGTCTAGAACGATGTGTGTTAAATTTCGTAGAAATCGGTTTAGATTTAGATATAGCTCCCATATATATTTTCGTCCGATTTTAGGTAAATATTGCACTAAAGTCCCTATATATCTTTCGATTTGCTCGAAATTTGGCACAGCGTACATAATTGAGCCTAGAATGAAGTGTGCCAAGTTTCATGAAAATCGGTTCAGATTTAGATATAGCTCCCATATATATTTTCGTCCGATTTTAGGTAAATAATGCACCAAATTCCCTATGTATCATTCGATGTACACGAAATTTGGCATAGCATTTTGATTAAAGTCTAGAACGATGAGTGCTAAATTTCGTGAAAATCGGTTCAGATTTAGATATAGCTCCCATATATATTATCTTCCGATTTCAGGTAAATAATGCACCCAAGTACCTATATATCCTTAGATTTGCACGAAATTCGGCATAACGTACTGAATTAAGTCTAGAATGATGTGCGCAAAGTTTCGTGCAAATCGGTTCAGATTTAGATGTAGCTCCCATATATATTTTCGTACGATTTTAGGTAAATAGTGCACCAAAGTCCCTATATATCCCTCGATTTGCAGGAAAATTGGCATAGCGTACTGAATTAAGTCTAGAACGATGTGCGTTTAATTTCGTAGAAATCGGTTCAGATTTAGATATAGCTCCAATATATATTTTCGTCCGATTTCAAGTAAATAATGCATCCAAGACCCTATATATCTTTCGATATGCACGAATTTTTGTATGGGGTACTAAATTAAGTCTAGAACGATGTTGCTAAGCTTCGTAAAAAGATCCATAGCTAGGCCGATTGACACAACGTACTGAAATAATATAAATTAGTCTCTGGCAAGTTTCTCTGAAATCGGTTCAGATATAGATATATAACAAATACGCGACGTCTATTAGGATACATATGTAGAATATACCCAAAGTGGTGAACGGTATTATATAGTCGGCCCAGTCCGAATTTACTACTTTCCTTACTGGTTTAAAAATATTTTTGATAGCTTTAATTTATTTTTAATTTTTTTAAATTAATATTGAGTTTCAAAATAGTATTAGAATCGATGGTGACCTTTAACCGCTTCTATTCTTCCTGATGCGTTGATTTTGCCGCTGATGATTTTTTTGCCTCTTCCCACGGCGATTGTTCTGATTTCGTCGGATCTTAGGATTGTAACGTGTTATACGTTGTGGGGATGGCTTCTGATTTCGGCGAACCTTGTGATTACGGCGTACCTTATTGCGCTGTGGTTGGGTCCTATTAGGTTTCCGCTGATCCTTATTAGGCTTCCTGTGTACCTTATTCCCCCTCTTAGATTGACGTTGGGCCTTATTCTGCTTCTTTGCCACCCTATTAACCTTCTTGTGCTGCTTCCTTTGGAGTTTCTGTGACTTACGTTTTGCCGAGCGATTTCTGTTCACCTTTTTCACTGGACCCGGCCACGTATCAAGATTATCTTCTTTATCGGCAAAATTGTAAGGCAGGAGGCCAGCCTGAGCAACTCCTACAACTGTAGGTGCTGGTGTGGGTTTTACAACAGGAATTTTTGGTCTTACTGTTGGACACACCTGACCGGAACAAAGTTTTCTTGCCAGGCCATTATCATTGTCCCTATTACTCTCATCCTTGAGGATGAAACCATTTACCAAACAATTACCAGCCAACAAGGCTACACAAAGTAGAAAAATGAATTGGAAACTCATCGTGATTCCATTAACAGCTTTCTCCCACCAAAGTTCGTGGAGATAGTGTCTGGCGGAATTTAAATACTTTGTTGTGTACCAAAGTTTTGAATGACTATTTACTTTAGCGGCCGTGGCATGACTGTTGGAATTTTATAGGTTACAGCAAAGTTCGGTTTGTTTCAATATTTATTTTTTGGTTGGAAAACTGAAGTGAAGTTTACAATTTTGAAGTCAAAATGGAGGTTATTATGATGGAAAAAGTTTTGACAAATTCACAGGTGTTTTGGAGGTTTTTTTTTAAATATTTGTTTTACATGTGCAACTGGTTGGTCAACAAAAATTTTGACAAGGCGAACAAATATTTTTAAAAAATTCACGCCTCTAATAGTCTCTCGAAAAAAATATTTCTAATAAATCCAAGCCTCTAATAGTCGCCTCAAAAAATATTTTTAAAAAATCCACGGCCATGCCTATTTTAGTGGTTCCAAAAAATATTTTTTATAAAACCCCATCTTTTACGGCTGCCTCAAAAATAGGAAACATTTTTTTAAATGGCGGCTTCGTTTTCGTTACTCCAAATTTGTAAATGCATGAACAGTAGTTACCAGAAATATACCAATTGGAAAAACAGCTGCCAGGTCAACCCAACCTTCTACTCTTGATTTACTTCTTCTGTTTAAACAAGTGCCCCTATACACACAAAACTCCCCCACCCTAAATTACACATTACAAACATTTTCCCAAGTAATATTATGAACGGTATAAAAACCTTTGAAAATTCTTCAAACAGCATCAAATTTATTCGATTACTCCTCCTTCAAACATCTACTGACTCTAATTGGGTCTCGAACAATGAGAATAGCATTTCTTCTACTGTGTCTGGCCCTATTGGGCTCCAATGCCGTAGTCAATGGTTTCTTTTTTAAGACCAAGCTATGTGCCATGGGTAAGACACAATTCTGTCCACCGGCACCGCCTGTTGCACCGACCACCACAACAACTGCAACAACACCCACCACCGCAACTACACCAACAACTCCAACAACCACTGGCACCGGCACTGGTACTGGCACTGCACCCACCAATACGGCTACTACCACTTCAACGGGAGCTGGAACTTCACCCACCGGTACTGGAACTGCTCCTACAGGCAGTGGAACAGCACCCACTGGTTCTAGCACTTCCCCAACGGGTGGTGCAACACCACCAGGAACTTCACCAACTGGTGGAGCAACGCCCCCAGCCACAGCACCAACAGGATCTGCACCTGCACCAACAGGATCTTCACCTGCACCAACAGCTTCAGCTCCAGCACCTTCGCCAACAGGATCTGCGCCTGCGCCAACTGGTGGAGCAACTCCCCCAGCCACAGCGCCAGCACCAACAGCAACTCCCCCAGCCACAGCACCTGCACCTCGTGCCTTGGCTTTGGATGAAATCGATGAGAATGCCATTGAAAATGCCGCTATCGATGATGAAGTTGTCGATGAACGTGCTCGCCGTCATCGTCGCATGCGTCGCACTCGTCGTCGTAATCGTCGCAACAAGGCTCGTCGTAATCGTAGAATTCGTCGCAATCGCAGACTTCGTCGCCTGCGTAAAAATCGTGCCGTTAGACGTCGTCGCATCACCCGTCGCAGACGTAAGAACAGGAGTGGTTAAACGGAATGGAAATCGAATAAGGGGTTCTGAACATGAAAAATTCTGACTAATAAAATGATAAGCAAATTGAATCAGCAACAATTTTTTATATGGAATAGGGGGGAGATTAATATAGGCTACATTTCCATGTATAGAAGGCTGTTCTTCTATGTGTCGAAGGCTGGATTTATTAAAAATATTTATGGAGCCACTATAAAAGGCGTGGATTTATTGAAAACATTTTTTTGGAGGTACTACAGTAGGCGTGGATTTTTATCCCTTACCCAACTATGTTGTCAGGGTATTATATGTTTGTGTTTCTAACGCCGCGAAAAATTGGTCCTAGACCCACCATTAAGTATAGCGATCATATGTCGTTTAGCAGAGTCAATCTAGACATATGTGTCCGTCCGTCCGTCTGTCCATTATAATTTGTAAACACGATACAGGCCACAGTTATGGACCAATCTTCACGAAATTTTGCATGTAGGATGGGTTCTGGCCAATGAAGACCCCTATTGTTTTTGGTAAAGATCGGTTAATATATAGGGGATGAAATGGACCAAATACTTAATTTTTGTCCGTTTTTCTGGTCGCTCCAGATGCCCCAATTATGGCCCGAACATCTCGAAATTTTACATGGATAAGGGGATCGGGCCAAAGAAAAAGCATGCCTGTTTTGATAAACATCAGTCAATATTTAGCGGTCAAATGGAACCTGAGTTTTGTGTGAAAAATGACAAAATTTGTATTCTGGAGAGTATATATTTACTCCTGAAGGACATAGAGGGGAGTGGTTGGCCTCTAAATTGATACCAATTATATTGTCGTATGTATTCGGCTATGGGAGTTACACATAAATATTTACTGGGGCTTACGTATTCAGATATTATGTTGTAACCCATTAGCACACTGGTGAGCGGAAATATAGCGCTGATCGCTTTGAAGTGTTCCATGAGGTTCCATTTATGGTCAAGGACAACGCCTATAATTTTCGTTGATGATCATATAATAATTTTGCGATGAAGTGGATCGAAAACTTTTTTTATTCGATCTATAGGCTACAATTATAAGCCGAACATCACACAACCCAAGGTGAAGCGAATCTGGATATGTAATTAGTAGGGCTGTACTGAATATTGGTAATATTTGGAAAATATATAAGTGTAATGAAGAGGTGCAGTCGACCTATAAACGGGCAAGAGGGTGCAACTATCACGAAATATTACCCAGGCTCGGAATAAAAATCCGCAGAAAGATAGAATTTTGTGGTTGTTGTGTTGGGTATCGTATGGTTGGCCGCGTCCTACTGAATATTGGTAATATTCGGAAAATATGTCAGTGTAATGAAGAGGTGCTGTTGACCTCTAATCGGGCAAGAGGGTGCAACTATCACGAAACAGTACCCAGGCTCGGAATACAATTCCGTAGAAGGATAGAGTTTTGTGGTAGTGTGTAGAGTGTAGAGTTTTGTGGTCGTGTGGTCGGCCGCGTCCAACTATACTGCTCCACTCACTGGTTTAAAATTTTTTTTAAAGCCTCTGCACATGGGCCTGGATTTTTTAAAATATTTTTCCAAGGACTCCAAAAGACTTAAGTGATACGAATGGTTCCTTCCGCCACCTTCCTATATCTCTCATTTGCAATTACTGGCCCATTATTATTTATTTATGGTAGTTAGGTTTGTCCATCATTTCTTTTAATTTTTTGCCATTCACTTCTAATTGCAATTCCCAACTGGCCGAAATATTTCGTTGACATTTTAATTTAATTGATATCAATCATGCCGTTCTTGGTTGACCGACCATAGCCATAGCATTTCACAATTGGACATCAAAAGAAAAAAAACAACTTGTGAAATGAAAGCCACCAATGAATTATTTTACAATTGTTTTGGGAGTTGTTTTTTGCATCTTGTCATGTCATATTCGGCTTGAGCTAAGTGGCGGATGTTGCAACAATAGATTAGCTGTCATGGGGGAATTTCGAAATGGAAAAGAGAAATGGTGAGAGATTAATTTATTAGTTAATTTATTAGCCATGAATGATGGTCCCTGAAAAAATATTATTTAATAAAGCCACGCCTTAGTTGGCCCATGACAAATTAAACCTTAATAAATCCACGCCTTGGTTAGGCCTTGAAAAAAGTCTTCTTTAATAAATCCACACCTTGGATAGGTCTTGAAAAAAGTCTTCTTTAATAAATCCACGCCTTGGTTAGGCCTTGAAAAAGTCTTCTTTAATAAATCCACGCCTTGGTTAGGCCTTGAAAAAGTCTTCTTTAATAAATCCACGCCTTGGTTAGGCCTTGAAAAAGTCTTCTTTAATAAATCCACGCCTTGGTTAGGCCTTGAAAAAGTCTTCTTTAATAAATCCACGCCTTGGTTAGGCCTTGAAAAAAGTCTTCTTTAATAAATCCACGCCTTGGTTAGGCCTTGAAAAAAGTCTTCTTTAATAAATCCACGCCTTGGATAGGCCTTGAAAAAAGTCTTCATTAATAAATCCACGCCTTGGATAGGCCTTGAAAAAAGTCTTCATTAATAAATCCACGCCTTGGATAGGCCTTGAAAAAAGTCTTCTTTAATAAATCCACGCCTTGGATAGGCCTTGAAAAAAGTCTTCTTTAATAAATCCACGCCTTGGATAGGCCTTGAAAAATTAATCTTTAATAAATCCACGCCTTGGATTGGCCTTGAAAAAAGTCTTATTTAATAAATCCACGCCTTGGATAGGCCTTGAAAAAAGTCTTCTTTAATAAATCCACGCCTTGGATAGGCCTTGAAAAAAGTCTTCTTTAATAAATCCACGCGTTGGATAGGCCTTGAAAAAGTCTTCTTTAATAAATCCACGCCTTGGATAGGCCTTGAAAAAAGTCTTCTTTAATAAATCCACGCGTTGGATAGGCCTTGAAAAAGTCTTCTTTAATAAATCCACGCCTTGGATAGGCCTTGAAAAAAGTCTTCTTTAATAAATCCACGCGTTGGATGGGCATTCAACAAATATTCTTTAAAAATTCACGCCTTATTTGACCTCTAGGCGTTGTAAAATTTGTAAAAGAATATTTGCGTATAATTATTATTGATAGTAATACGCATAGATATACTGATGACCACACGGCGTATGAGTATTGTCAACACTTATACGTTCGTATACATTTGTTTGTCCTTAATATAGAACTAAATTTGGTGCCTATTTCGCTCTTCTGTTGCCCCACAATGCAGCCACAAAACATCCACTTGCCATTCCCTTTTGACATTATTTACCTGTGATATCTGTAACAGATGAGCGAACCACTGAGTGAGTGTGTGTGAATATTTACCATAGAATTTGTATGCAAATATTGAAGTAATTGAAATTCAATTCCAAATGACTGTACGTTGTTTTTTCTGTGCGGATCTATTTTACATATATTATTGCAAAGGAAATAAGCTGGCATACGGAGGAGCTTAGTAGGCGAAATTGTAACATATTAGAATATGTGGTCATGAGAGAGGGTAAAGGTTTGTGTGAAATGGAAATTTGTATGGGCCAAATTAAAAGTTATTTTTTGGATCTCTATTGAGGAGGAATTAGAATACCCAAAATAGGTGTGTCAAATATGGTAATTTTCATACATATTTGTTATTTCCGAATCACCTGCAAAATAATCCATTTCCCCACAAAATTTAAATATTACCACGTCCCTGTTTCCACACAATTCTTCATTGTCCAAATAGCCACAGATTTTTCCAATATTTATTATTCTCACGTATCTATTGCATTAATGTTATTCAAATTTGGCGGAAATTTAGTTTTTGTTTCAGTCGCAAGAAAAAAAATAATGTTCTGTTTTACTATGCCAGCTGGCTTCCTGCTGGCTATTTGTTGGTCAAAATTGACTTTTGCTAAACAAATCAAACAAAAAATATTAATGTGGAAAATTATAAATTATTTAACATGTAATTTACACACACACAAAGATACAATTACAACGATGCACTTTTGCAAACCGATGTCCTTTTTGGTCTTCATATATTTTTAATTAAAATATAATCGAAAACATATTTTTTTAATAAATCCACGCCTCAGATAGTGGCTCGAAAAAAATATTTTTTTAATAAATCCACGCCTCAGATAGTGGCTCGAAAAAAATATTTTTTTAATAAATCCACGCCTCAGATAGTGGCTCGAAAAAAATATTTTTTTAATAAATCCACGCCTCAGATAGTGGCTCGAAAAAAATATTTTTTTTATAAATCCACGCCTCAGATAGTGGCTCGAAAAAATATTTTTTTAATAAATCCACGCCTCAGATAGTGGCTCGAAAAAATATTTTTTTAATAAATCCACGCCTCAGATAGTGGCTCGAAAAAAATATTTTTTTTATAAATCCACGCCTTTAGGTCCCGAAAAAATATTTTTTGAATAAATCCACGCCTCAGATAGTGGCTCGAAAAAAAATATTTTTTTAATAAATCCACGCCTCAGATAGTGGCTCGAAAAAAATATTTTTGAATAAATCCACGCCTCAGATAGTGGCTCGAAGAAAATATTTTTTAATAAATCCAAGCCTCAGATAGTGGCTCGAAGAAAATATTTTTGTAATAAATCCACGCCTCAGATAGTGTGTCCAAAAAAACTTTTTAATAAATCCACGCCTCAGATAGTGGCTCGAAAAAATATTTTTTTAATAAATCCACGCCTCAGATAGTGGCTTGAAAAAAAAAATATTTTTTAATAAATCCACGCCTCAGATAGTGGCTCGAAAAAAATATTTTTTTAATAAATCCACGCTTGAGTTGGCTACTCCAAAAAAATATTTTTTAATATATCCACGTCTGAGTTGGCCACTCCAAAAAAAATATTTTTTTAATAAATCCACGCCTCAGATAGTGGCTCGAAAAAAATATTTTTTTAATAAATCCACGCCTCAGATAGTGGCTCGAAAAAAATATTTTTTAAAAAATCCACGCCTCACGCATACGCCTATTAGAGTCCCTCGACAAAATATTTTTAATAAATCCACACCTTTTATGGCTGCT